CACCACCACCACCATTATCACCACCACCACCATTATCACCACCACCACCACCACCATTATCACCACCACCACCACCAGCATCATTACCACCACCACCACCATTACCTGGGACCGAAGATAAGTGTAATTTTTGGGTTCTCACCTCATGCCACTGCATAAGAAACTCTGGGGCTGGGGTTTTAATAGCCCTCCAAGTGATTCTGATGAACACTACGATTTGAGAACTATTAAAGAGAAGTGCTGGTGGTGTAGTGGATTACATGATGGGTGCTAACTGTATGGTCAATGTTTCAAACCCACCAGCTGTTCCGCGTGGGAAAGGTGATCCTTTCTGCTTCCACAAAGCTTTACAACATCAGAAACCCCTTGTGAGTTGCGATGAGTTGGAACCAATTCAATGGAAGTGGGTTTTTAGGTGTTTGGGTTAGTTTTTTCTGGTCTGCAGCAGTGTTTTTATCTTTTCTGATTTCCCATGACCATGACAGCAGCAACAAATACTGTGGAGATATTTTGTAGATGATCTTTCTCATGCTTGAAAGCAACAAGTGGGAGGCCTAGAAAAGTTGTCTGATTTTTTCTGAAACGAAACATATACCCTGCATGTTCATGTGAAATTTCCTAATTTTGAAATGATGGTTACTTGCTTTAAATGCCAGTTCCACCTAGGTCCCCAAGTCTGTGGGGCTAGAGTCCCTGGTGGCATCACGGGCCGGCCCTGGTTAGCTGCCAGCTGACTGGCTGCAAGGCCAGCAGTTTGCACCAGCCTCCTGTGAGGAAGAAAGTTGAAGCTGTCTGCTCCTGTAAAGACTTACAGCCTCAGAAACACAAAGGGCCAACACTGCACTGTGCTATAGGGTTAGTTTGAGTCAATATTGACTCTATGGTAGTGAGTTTGTAGCTTAAAATTACGCACAACTGTCTATGGGGCTCTGACATGACAGTGCATTCACAATGTTAAAGCACACATCCACTGTGCATGTCGAACAAACCCAACTGCAAGCTCCATCCAGCCCAAGTGGCTGGGCTCCTGGGCCTACAGAGGAAGGTATTCCCAGGAGACCAGTGTAAAGGATTTGGAAAGAAATAAGATCTAGCTCTGGAGTCTCACTCTCACTACCCTTTACTTACTGTTAAAGGATAGTGTCTGGTGGGCAGCCATCTTTCTGTGAGTTCCTGGCTTATCTGGTCATTGTGACTTTGATCAGCAATGTTACGCTTACATTCATGAGCTGAGGAGCACTCAGTTGGTGCCAGGTGGGTGATGAGCTTTCCTCTCAATGGGCAGGAGCCAATTTGCCAAGCCGTCTTGTCTATCACTGGCTCGAGGGAGTCTGCCTTTTAGAAAACACCCATGGTATCTTAGTGACATATTTCTGGAGCTACAAGTCCGGTAGGTTGGGTTTGCCACTCACTGGCAAGATTTGTAGGGAACATTCCTGAAAGCATGTGCCTACCCTCTTCCGAGGGCAAGAGGAATGTCACCTAGGCTAGTACTTCCACCATGGTCCTCTTCCTCAGGACACGAGGAGTAATGAAATTGAACCATCTGCCCAGGACCACAGAGGTTTCCCCCAAGCATTCTCGCCGAGGACTCGGCATTAGGAACTCCGAGCTCTGCTAAGGGTCCTTGCTTGCGGCATGGGAGGATGGCGAGCTTGCCCCGGTGAACATGTGTGTGGTCTGGAAGGAGGGAGCATTTGGTGAATGCCAGGATTTGTGGTTTATATCCCAGGCTGTAGCTAGCTAGATAACTGATCGGGAGTCTCCCCCAACTCATGGCAAGTTTTGCCTAGCAGAATGAAACGCTGCCCAGTCCTACACCATCCTCATGACTGTTGGCAGGTGGGGCGTGTTGTTGGGCTTCTGCACCAATTCATCTCCCCAAGGGGCTCCCATGGACCTGCTGGTCTTCAACGTCACCAAACCTGGTGTCCTCCTCCAGGGACTGATCCTTTTTGATGCTATGTCCGAAGCACATGGATTGGACAACAAGACTCAGTTGGCATCCATAAGGTTTGCAGTGGTGTCTTTGCAGAAGTGATCACCTGCTCTTGCTTCCTATCCTACATGAGCCTCCTGACTACCCCCATTGCCAGTTGAAATACAGGTGGGATAACTTCCAGCATCATAGATACCTGCAGGCCACCACAATATGACAATCTGACAGATGAGGGGTGGGCCCAGGGCAGAGTCAGTTCAATTGCATGAAGTCCCTTCCTGCAGGGCTGGGGGACAGTCTCTGAATTTGGATTCCACTTCTAGGATCAGCTATATCAGCCCAATTGTAGAGGAAGAAGGGAGTCTCACAAAACTCCCCTTCCAAAGGTCTCTTTGAGAGGCAGGGCTCTGAGTTTCCCCTGGCAACTTCTTGGGACTGAGGTGGAGGGGACAGAGACCTTTAACACTCGAAGAGTCATCATGTGACTGGCCCAGCAGGGCTCTGGCTGCTTGGCAACCCTCAGCTGGCTGTGAGGCAGACAACACGGCTGCCTGTCTTGGGCTGAAGCCAGGAAGGAAGCATTCTGTGGGTGTACGGCAGCCCACATGGCCTGGAGATTCGTCCCCACTTGCCTCACATTTCCAGAGCTCGTGGCACACTGTGGAAATGCTACAGTTGTTTTCCCTTAGCTACATAAACAACAGAACTTTGTCAGAAAATTGAAAATGTGCACTTTGTCCCAATAGCTAACGTGGGCTTGTCAGATGAGGTGTTTTCCGCCCGCCCTCCCCTCCCGCCCCCCTTCCCTTTCCCTCCATTGCATCTGATGAATGATGTCAATGGTTTGGGGGTCTGGAGGGTTTTTTTTTCTTTTTCTCTCTTTTTTTTGGTGCGAGGCACTAGAGTAAATGATCAGAGGGGTAACATTTTTAACCTTATCTATCATACTGAAACATTTTTTCTGCCTCCAATAAAACATGTCAGAGTCGATTAGGGACATTTTTCAATGAGGTATAATTCACAGATTCTAGTAGCAAATCCAAGCGCACTGAAGTATTAAAGAGGCTGTGAATACTTAATTACAGGGATGCTCCTCGCCTCCCTCTGCCTGGCTCCCCTCCACACGTGGAGGCCCCTCCTCTGAAGACGTGTGTCCTGTCTGATGGCAGGGTCGGAGGAGTCGCAGGTACAAGGCAGAGATGTGTCACATTGTATCTGGTGACAGGGCTGTGAGCGATACGGCGGCTCAGCGCGTTTGGCGGTGCTTATCTGGTACATGAGTGCACATTACTTCCCAAAGACCGGGATCACTGTGGACAGTATCATTAAATGCCACGTCATTACCTGTTATGGAGCACTGCTTTAGCTTCAAGGGCCTCTTGGGACATGAGCAACAGTCGGGAGAATGATGGGCAACGATGGACCCGGCATTACATTTTCAGTGGACGCTGGATTGGCTTTGACTTTTCAGAAGCCTTATCTGTGAGATGGTGTTTGTCACTGGGCCGCAGAGCTGTGCGTGTTCGTCAGTCGGAAGTTGCAGGCAGCTGAACGATATGGACAGGTGAAGGCTCCGTGGGGACCGGCACTGGCGGAGAGCTGGAGGGGGTAAATTGAAGGTTTATTTATCCCATTCACTGTCAAGGTCAGCTTACTAGAGAGCTGTCCTATGGATGCTTACAAATGCCAAAATCCTGGCAAATTGTCGGAAAGAGCTTCCAAATCACTGACCTTTGTACAGCGCCCATCAACCCGCTGGTGTCTCTGAAGGGGCCCTTGGAGGGCTGGTCGGATGCGGGTGAGGCTGTTGCTGTAATGTCAACAGACTTGCTATGTAGTTTTTCCTTTTGTGTTTTCGGCAACAAGGATGGAGTTAAAGGTATGACTGATGAAAGAGGGTAAGGGGATGGGGCGGCGGTGGCGGTGAGGAGGCTGAGAAAATAATTACAACAGTACGTATTTTGGCAAACAGGTTGCTGGAATGTGTTTGGGGGAGACCGGTTTGAGCGTGCAGCCCAAGACACTTCAGTGTCACCATTGTTAGTTTGCTGGGCGGGAAGGCATGCTTTGCAGCCTGGTTGTTACCCCTACTCCTCCTCCCACCTCCAGGACTCCTGATGCAGCCCCAGGCTTCCGTGGGGCTGGCCACTCTGAGCAATGTGTGCTTGGACTTTTGGTCTGATTTTGCCCTGACAGCTAATTTCAGGATGCAGGGCAGCCTAGTCATATTGGCTTCTTAGCCAAATGTGGAGGAATTCACCTAGCACTCAAGGGATGCCTGCATCCGGAATATCATGCATCATTAGAGGCAAAATATGTATAGTTTGTAAGGCTGGGTTTTCTAGAGAAACAAAACCAGTGACACTCATATATGTATAAAAAAGAAATTCATATCAAGAAAGAAAAGAAATTGGTATCAAGAGTGTGTCTCACACAACCACAGAATGGCAGACCCAGTCCAGCTCAAATCCATGGGTCAGATGCCCTTTCTGACTTGTGCAGCTGCTGACACTGGGGAACCAGAAAGTGGGAAGAAGCAGTAGCCGGCAGGACAAGCCGGAGCCAGGAAAGCCACAGGCCGGTGGAGACAGAGGGAAGTGGATCCAAGTCAGGCAACATGTCAGGCAGCTGACAGCTCCCAGGGTTGAAAGGCCACATGGTGGGCTGTCAGCCCTAAGCCCCAAGAAACCAGATGCAGGGAAGAATCAGTTTTCCAGAGCATCTATTTATAGATATGAAATCCATCAAACCTGCAAGGAGACATCATCAGACACCTTATGGGGAAGGCTTTCTTTTTAAAACAGCCGAGTTGACACAAAACCTAATTCTCATGTCTATCTACATATAAACACATATATACTTTGGCATATATCTGTAGCTGTATATATATATAAGTCATGTGCTCATATGTGTTTATGTATCGATATGTATATTTGTATATGGTCACATAGGTGTGGAGTAAATGAAAAATAACACACCTTAGATCATAGGTTTCCAAACCTATTTGAGCCACTGCCACCTTTTCAGAAAAAAAATATTACTCAGCATCCCCTGGCACTTAAATTATATACTCTAGGCCATAATCACAGATACAGTATAGGTATCTGCCCCACCCAGAATGCAGGCCCCAGGGACAGTATCCCCCACTTTGGGAAACACTGCCACAGCGAGTGAGAATCTCCTGGAGGGGTTGCCAGAGAGAGCAGCTGGAGGGGACGAGGAAGAAGACAAAGAATCAAAGAAAAGTGAGCCCTTCTCCATTCTTCCAACAGCTGTTGAGATTTCCTTTGCCAGGGTATGGGCGTGGGCAAGTTAGTCTTCTGAAGAGTTGTGGGCAGGGGCCCAGGCCTCCAGTGGAAGAAGATGACAGGGAAATCCTCCTTCACAGCACACAGTTCCAGTGGTGGCTTCCCTGGGCTGACGGGAGGGCTCCTGGCTCTGGGTCGGTATTGGCAGACACTGCTGGGTGGAATGCAGAGTAGAGCATGTACCTCATCAGTCCTGTTTCCAGTCTCTGGGACCCCCTTCTGAATGAAACTTTCTACTCAGCTTTCTTCACACCAGCGTTGACAGCAATTGCCTCCCAGGGAGCATGTGGGGACACAGAGGAAGACAAGAGCAAGCCAGGTGGAGGAACGTTACCTCCTACCTCTCTCCACTTAATGGGAAGGCAGTCACTGTGGAGGCCCGTGCAGTCACTGTTTACAAGACCATTTAAAACGCTCCTTCTTATTCCTAAATTCAATTAGAGAGCTGTTAATATGTCCCAGGTTTGTTGTAACGAGCCCATAACTGAAACTGACTTCGTTATCAATTCAAACAAAACACAAACACTTCATCTTTTGCTTCCTCAGGGAAACACCCAACATCCCATAGCCCAGCCTCTTCCATGCCAGGAGGATTCTGGGAGGCTCACCTGGGCTTCTTTCTCGCAAGTACGAAGGGGTCTGCAGAGGGCTCGCTCTTTCCATTCCACCTGGCTCCTTTTGGCCAACTGGGATGTTGACACTTGTGGTGCTGAACTGTTCTTTGTATAGCCACATTCCTTTCTGAGTTCTTTTCAGAGAGGAGAAGCGATGTAAAGGCTGGTGAATGACAACTTTCGTGTTGCTGTGGGGTCCCACTCTCTGAGGCCAGGGCCCCCACCATCACCTTCTTATAGTACAAACTTTGTGGGGTCCCAACACCCACTCTTCTGGAATAAGAAAGGAACAAGCCAAGAATTCCAACTCAGCAGAAAGGTAGAGAGAGGCGGAGGAACCTGGTGGTGTGTGAAGGGGTAGGGAGAGGGGTGCAGTGGCAAGAGTGGTTGGCTTCAGAGGGCAGAAGGTGGACATAGTGGGTGATGCTGGGTGACCCCAGGTGACCTAAGGACCCTCAATTTTCAGCCAAGTCAGGACATGTGGGCCTCTAAGGAGGTATCCACTTAGGTCACCCACCTGACCCAAGGCCCTGTTAAAGGTGTTCCTATGGGTGGTGAGCTCACTGGGTTTTCATTGGATGGGGCATCGAAGGGGAGGAGCCAGGGCTTTTAGGGAGATGGCATGTGAACAGTCGCTGACCTCAGACAGAGGGCGGGAGATGGGCTAAGTCCTTGACCGGGGTGCATGGCTGCGCTGGATTCTCTGGATCGTCTAAGACATTAGAAGCGGCCAGCCTCCACAATTTCAGATGAGAAGATGACGCCACTGGGAGGTTGGGCCATGTGCCCATCTCACAAACAGTGAGTCAGCTGTTGAGCTTGTGCTCCAAGATCTTTCTGGAAGATCCCAGAGGGCCAAACATTTGCGAACTCTTTATTTAACAGGTGTCTGGGAGCTGTGAACTCACTTAAAATGACCCCCAAGCCCACGATCCTGCTGCGCCAGCACACTCTTTGAACTTCTCAGGTCTTCAAGAACTTCAACATGGGGCTAGGACCTCTCTCCCTCTGTGTCCTGAACACCGTCCTTCTTGGAAAGAGGCCTCTGGTGCTCCACAGTCTGGCTGGAAGCTCTCCCCTGGCACAGGAAACTCCTGGCCTGAAGTCTACATGGCCTTGGGTTGTGCACTGTTCCTGAGGAAACTGTGAGTCTGAGCTGGCCTCACTGGAACCAGCACTTCCCATGGCGGTGTGCATGACACACGGAGCTGGGGCCATGCCACCGTCTGGCCTAAGGTGTGCTGCAACCTGTTCTGCAAGTGTAGTCTCTCTCCAGGTCCTGCTTCCAAAAAAGACACAGAGCCCAGAGCCCAGGAGAAAAGACCCATCAGCAAGGCCTGGACTGAGGCTCTGTAGCACCTGCAACAGAGATCCAATTCCCTCGTGGTCTCCAGCAGCTGCCCACTCAGGGTTGGGTTTGGGGGTATTTTTGAAGGCCTCCATTGCACCCTGTGGTAAATGACCAGTGATTTCCACACAGACCCCATCAACTTTGTCCAGAGTTACGTTTCTCATGCTGCCTCACAAGCGTCTAAATAGGAGGCATTGCCCCCATTGTCAGTGGCTGAGGCCCCAGTCCACAGAGAGGGCCGCCACGCCTTTCCGTTTGCTTTGCCTTCCTGCCTTGCTCTTGTTGGGTCTTCCTTTATCTGTTCATTTCCCTTCTTCCCTCCCTCCCCCCCGCCCTTCCTCAGCAGATCTTTATTGAGTTACAGACAGCGATGGATCCAGTCACTAGAGCTAGTCAGCAAGAAAGACAAGATGTCAGCTGTCAGGGAAGTTGTAGGCTGTTGGGGAGCCGATGATGAAAGCATCGATGAGCAAACAGGATGATTTCCGAGAGCAGTAAGAAAACACCAGGTGAATCAGATGGTCAGGCTTGTTTGAGTTGAGTATTGGAACTCAAGGAGCCAACCAAGGCAGGACCCTGAGAGAGAGTCCCTGACAGAGGAAGAGTCGTGTGCAAAGACCCTGGGGCAGGAGAAGCTGCTGTGATGGATGCTTGGAGAAGATAGAGTCTCCTGGTTGGAGCTGAGGTTGGAGAGGCACAGGGAGCTAGATGTTCAGGTCCTTACGCCCAGCTAGCCACTTGGATCTCTTTTGCAGCCTCATTTCTCACAGGGGTGCACAGACTGGGATGCTGCCCCCTGCCCCTTTGCTTGGATTGCAATTTTCTTCTTGGAGAAGCACTTCTCTTCTGCTACTGTATTTTTATGTATCCAAAATGGCCCCTCTTCCATTCTGTCTTCTTTGTTTCCCCAACAGGATCTTTCCTCTGGGTTCCTTTTGCACATTGCACCTAGCACCTTGTGTGTTAGTCTGGGTAGACTAGAGAAACAAATTCATAGACACTCATATGTGTATAAGAAAGAGCTTTATATATGAGCAATTGTATATTGAGAAAATATCCTAGCCCAGTCTAGATCAAGTGCTTAAGTCCAATATTAGCCCATGTCCAATACCAATCTATAAATTCCTCTTCAGACTCATGAAACACATGCAATGACGCTGAGTGCAGGATGATCCCAGGTCAGTGGCTGGAAAGTCTTGTGGATATAGTGGCAGTGTAAGCATCTCAGCACTGACATGGGTCTCCACATGGCTCTAGTGTACCTCCACGTGTCTTGTCATTAGGAATTTGAAGCAGAGAGTCTGTGCGTATCTGGCCTCCAGGGCTATTTATCTCTGGGATGCCTCCAAATGAGGTCATCAAGCTGTGACCTGATTGACAGGCTAGACTCCACTGCTTCACAAATTGACACCAGATTATGTAACCACCACACCCTGCTTCCAGCACTTCCCATGCTTGACTTCCCAGCATGACTCGGAGCCCTGGAGCCTTGCTGCCAAGTGCAGGCCCACATAGGTTCCTCTGGGCTGCAGGTGGTGTGCTCAGGAAAGAGGCTGTCAGGGACCCCTCAGGCCTACCTGGCAGGTGGAGCCAGGACTAGACTTCTGCACATCCCTTCTAGCCCTTGGAGCAGCTCTGGGCTGAGGCCCAGCAGGAGCTGTTAGTTCTAGTTTTGAGTGAGCTTCTGGGTAAGGGATGACTCAGAATGGGGAACATGGGCAGGAGGCTGAAGGCAACATCAAGATCCCAGGTTGTGGACACCACATCTCTGAGAAGGGCTATGAGAACCAGCGCTGCAGCCAGAAGAATCCGTGGTGGCTACATCTCCATTGATGCGGGAGCAAGCGGAGCTGGGGTGGCAGCTTCCTGGAGATTAACATGTGGAGCCCACTGCCCCCGCTGGTCTCCTGGGCAGGCCTTTAGTCTCTAGAGCAATTGTTTTGTTGGTTAATAGAGGTTGCGTTTGGAGGGCGGCTGGGCCGGGGCACCTCTAAGTGGGGAGCTGTGCATTGTGTGGGATTGTGGAGCCTTTCCTATTTACTGGTCAGCCCTGGAGATTAGTTAGGTGGCATTTCCCCAAAGTGCTCCTCACCCATAGGGTGAAACTTCAACTCATAGGGAGGTGGCATGTAGATTTGCAATGTGGTGGATACTCCACTAACTCAAGCTGAGTGCCCACCCACCTCTTACCATGAGGCCTAATGAGAACGGGGGTAGGGTGGGGGGGAACTAGGTGGCAACTCACTTAGCAGCCTTTAAAGTCTGTTTTGTCCTTGTCTCCTCCCTACTTCAGCCTCCCTCACCTCCCAGCGCCATATTCTCTCAGCAGAATGCATGGACAAAAGGGACCGTCCTCTAACCTGTTCCCTATGCCCTTCCATCTTTCCTCCCTCACGCAAGGAGACCTGTCTTTTTCCTCCTTGCTCTCCCCGTCTCCTCTCTTCTCTCCCAGTCCTCATGCATCTGCCGTGGTTGTTGTTGTGAGGTGCTGTTGTCAAGTCGGTTACAACTCATAGCGACCCTGTGTATAACAGGGCGGAACCCGGTCTGGTCCCGCGCCAGCCTCCCAATGGGGCTTATGTCTAAACCCACTGTTGCGGCCACTGTGTCCATCCCTCTTGTGGAGGACTGTCCTCTCTTATGCCGCCTGTCTACTTTACCAAACATGAAGTCCTTCTCCGGGGACCGGTCTCTCCGGACAACATGTCTTAAATACGTGAGATGAAGTCATGCCATCCTAGCCTCGAAGACATATTCTGGCTGTATTTCTTGCAAGATCGATTTGTTTGTTCTCTTGGCAGTCCATGGTACTTTCAAGATTCTTCGCCAACACCATCATTCAGATGCTGGTGACCACTGTGTATTTTGAGCGCCTTCCAACCCTGGGGCTCATCTTTCAGCACCGGTGGGACAGGATTCTCCATAGGATTTTCACTGGCTGAATTCAGAGAGTCGATGGATCACTAAGCCTGTTTTCCAAGTACTAGTCCGGAAGCTCTGCAAACACCAGCCTCCCATGGCCAGTCCTGTTGGCATTTCTCAGAGAAGGAGCACAGCTTCCAACATCACAGTCACACACCGGCCAACAAACTGACAGATGGGTGGGTGTGTATGCCCTTATCTCCTCTCTAACCAGCAACGAATAAACTGCCCTCAAAGGTGCTGGGTGCCCATCGGTCCATGGCAAAGGGTGCAGGGGTTGGCAACTGTCCCAGCTCCATCCTGCCGAGCAGTTCTGATGGATGGCTGTCAGGACCAGAGGCCGGCCAAACTCTACCTTGTTCTGCCAAGCCATGTTCTGCCCTGCCATGCTCTGAAGGCCCCAACCTCACCCAGAGCCTGGCACTGGAGCATCACTCTGAGGACACAGCATTGTGTGGCTCCTGAGAAGAGATTCCCTCCAAGCTCAGCTGACTTTGCTAAAGGAGGCGAAACAATGGCCTTGACCTTGAGGCGGCACCATTATCAAGAAAGCCACATGGCCCCTGCATGTGCCATGCCAACTAGCCAAAAGTGCCAGGATTATTTACAGTTGGTCTTTAAACAGCAGTGGATACGAATAAAAGAGCAATATCTCACATCATTAGTCCATAAATATGCAGTTTCGTTTTATTTGTCAAATAAAATATCCTGAGATTGAACTGCCTAGTTGAAAGACACAGGCACACATATGCGTCGCCCCACCCCACCCTTCCCCATCTCTAAGTCTGCAGGCCCTCAGTCATGTTCCTTGCCACACATGTCCTCGTTTGTCCCTTCCCTGGCATTCGTGGGGAGTCAAACAGCCAGGCCTCTCTGCCTGTCTCCTAAGGGAAGCCCTTGCATCCATCAGCTAAAGGCTCCTCAGAGAAGGGACACTGGAGCTCCCTCCCCTCCTCCCCTTATTTAAGGGATCTGCATTCATTCTTCTATAAAAGGCTTGGAGCCTGGCTGTGCTGGAATTGGCCCCACTGCCTGGGGCTACTGAGCTGCCTTCCGCTGCTCCAAGAGAATGGGCCGGGCTCCAGTACGGCCCCGCCTGCATTTCCAGTTGTCCATCAGAGTCCAGACGGGGTGTGCAGACGGGTGAGGGCTCTGCGGGAGAGCAGGGGGGCTGGAAAGTATTCCCTAGTCCGGTCCTTCACAGTACAGGGGTGAAAACGGAGCCTCACATGCCCTGTTCCCCACTGGCTCTTAATGTGAGCGAGCTCACGAGGGCTGAATATGCCAGGGCTTGCTCCCATTGAGTGGTGCATGCCCGGAGTCCACTGTCACAATGGAGCAGAGTACATCGCTGGGTGGGGCCCTGGCCTTTTGGCAGGGGGCCACTGACTCGCAGCACCCCCACCCGCCTCCCTTCTGTGGGTTTCCTACACTGTGACTGTGTACAGGAGTCGAAAGCCCAGTCTTTCTCCCCCAGAGATGTTGGTGGTTTCGAACTGCCCAGAAGGCACATTGGCACAGCCCAAAGGGTACCCACTATGCTACCAGGGCTCCCAGGGAAGACCTTACCTTCAACTACCTTGGGCATTTCTCAGCCAGAGCAGAGCAGGTTCTGTACTGAACTTCAAACAGTGGTTGGTCATTTTTTAAAAGCAGCATTATTAAAGACATTGTATCCTATCAACCCACCAATATCACCGTGACTGTATTAGACTTGAACTTTACCTCAGATTGTTAGTTCTTTTTGTACAAGGACGTTGACTTCCAAATGAGTGCTCACCTGGTGAGGCTGACAGCTCCCGGGGACATCGGGTGGTGAAGTGTGAGGAGCTTTGGACAACTCTGAAAAACCAAGATCACTATTATCAGGTCAATTCTGACTCCTGGCAGCCTATAGAGCAAGACAGAACTGCCTCTGTGGGTTTCAGAGACTGTAACTCTTTACAGAAGCGGGAAGCCTCATCTTGCTCCCTCAGAGCAGCTAGTGGTTTCAAACTGCTGACCTGGAGCTCAGCAGCCCAGCGCGTAATTACTCCCCCAGCAGGCATCTGCAGCCACAGTCAAATGTGTGGCCACCAGCCTCCGAGGAGCTTCTGGGAAAGGTGTTTCTGCGTGTGTGCTCCTTACTGGCTCTGTGTTTCCCTTGCCCACGTGAAAATGCTGGTAAAATAGTCATAGATAGATTTGATTTTTCCACCCTCTAAAATGCAAAATAACTCACGTTTTTTTAGCAAATAGGAGGCAACTTATTGTTACGTCTTCAAGAGATTTATGCTCACGGGGGCTAAGTTTTATTAAAGTAACCTGTGGGTTCTTCTTCTTCTTTTTAAAGAAAGAAGTTGGTAACATAATGAAATGCAAAGCATTTTATTTTCCCCATCAAAACACTCTCTTTAAAAGGCACTAAAGAAGACATAAGGCTTTTGTATTACAAACTGATGGAAGAGACACACTGAACTGAGAACTCAGGCTTTTGAGGACCTCAAAGAAAACCAGGGAGAGAACAAAATTATCCCAAGCAGGACACGGAACAAGGTTGTTCCCCTAGCCTTGCCCCGGAGCTGACGCGGCCTGCATACCCGGCATGGCGCAGAGTCCCGCGGCACCCACTCTGGGCCGAGCTGTTGGTTGGAATGGGGGAGCTGTGCAGCTCTGCCTTGAAGTTTGATAAGAGAAGAGCATTTCTGACATGATTTGTAGGCAGGATCTCTGGGGTGTGGGAGGGGCGGGCTGTTCTATTGCATATCTCTATGAAATCTTACCCTTTTGGTGTCCTTGAGAGTTTCATCTTTTTAAGTGATGGTCATTTTCTTGGTGCCAAGATACTGTTTTTTGTGCTCGCGCACTTGTCAGAAAATGTGACATAAGACAGAAACTTACACTACTTGCCATGAACAAAAAGGAATGTGTCTTGTTAGCAGTACAGGCAGGATACACAGCCCAGGCCAGCTGCTTTTATTGCTTTGTACCAAAGAGGAAAATATCAGCCAGCTCAACGATGCTCTATTCGTGAAGAAATAGGCAGGTTCAGCCCCAAGCACCCAGTGGTGGGTTTCTAATGGCTCACTTCTGCCAACCTCCAGACCTGAGCTGTTGGGGAGATGCTGAGACTGTTGGGGTGGGAGAGACAGGGATTGTTGGGGAGTGTACTAAGAAGGTTGGGGTAGCAAAGACATGGATTGTTGGGGAACATGTTCAGGCCACTGGGTGACATGGACTTGGTTTGTGGAGGGGGGAGACCAGATTATTGGGGTAGCAGAGCCATGGGTTGTTGGGGGACAAGTTCAGGACCCTGGGATGGTATTGACATGGATTGCTAGAGAGTGTCCATGTTTTCAGGGTGGTGTGAACATGAATTGTTGGCGAGCTTGCTAAGAAGGTTGGGGTTGTATAGACATGGGTTCTTGGGGGACAAGTTCAGGACCCTGAGGTGGTATTGACGTGGATTGCTGGAGATAGTGTCTTTATTTTCAGGGTGGTGTAAACATGGATCATTGGGGAGCATGCTAAAAATATTAGGGTAGCATAGCCATGGATTATTGGGGAACATGTTCAGGTCAGTGGGTAGTGTGCACATGAATTGTTGGGAAGACCCTCAGATTATTGGGAGAGAGTAGACATGGACAATTGAAGAGTGCTCAGATTCCAAGGGTGGTGTGAATACGATTGTTGGGGACCGTGCTAAGACCGCTGAGGTAGCACAGACACTAGTTGTTGGGGCTCAACCTCTTGAGGACCATAGATGTGGCTTGATGGGCAGCATGCTCAGTCTCACTGGAGGGTGTAGACTATAGTGGTGGGCAGACACTAAGACTTTCAGGATGGTAAAACCGCTGGTGTTTTGCTGGATCACAGGAAATGTGCCAGGTTTCAGATTCAGGAGGTGCAGATGCACCCCTAGTACAGCTGCAATGACCAATGACACGACCATTGAGACCAGGTCTACACTGGTGCTTTCTTTCCTGGATTGAAATAGGCCTTGTGCTAAGTGGGCATCGGAGGATGGCGACTGACGGAAATATTGACTGCACGGCTGTCAGTGCCAGCCTGACACGCTGGCTTCACCAACGTGATCTGGAGTTCTTTTCTTTGTTTCTCTGTAGACACAACGAAGAGCCTCCGCCCCCTGAAATGTTTAGTTCAGGCTTAACCCTAGACAGTGTCATGAAAACAGGCAAACAGAATTTCCATGAAAACTATTTTAAAAGAGAGTTGTTGACAATAAGCAAAAGTGTAGTAAGTGGTTTAAAACATAGAAACTCTCCATCCTCGGTTTTCTTCTGTTATGGGCTTTTCTGAGCAAGCTGCTCAGTTCACTTCCTGTCCTCAGCCCCAGGGGACAGGGAATCCCTTTCGGAGGCAGAGAATGGGTGAGGAGATCGCCCCACACTCCCCTTCACTACAGGTCAGGGCATAGGCCAGATGCGCTCAGAGAGGAGAGAGGGACTGACTACCAGGGGAGGGACGAGGCTCTGCCTCTGAAGGATGAGCTTACAATGTTAATAAGCATCTCTAAAATGACAGCAAGGTCAATTGGCATAACATAGCCCATGAAACAATGTTCTTCAGCCTACTCTTGTGAATAGTGTCTGGGGTTTTAAAAACTTGTGAATAGCCATCTAAGCCATCTAATAGCCATCGACTATTGGTCTCTCTCTACCCAGCAGGAAGACAAGTATGACAACTGAAGACAGGTGGAAACAGTTAGCCCAATGGACTAATGGACCAAGCAAACATTGGTCTCCACCACCCTGAGACCGTAAGAAGTAGATGGTGCCTGACACTTGACTGTAGTGATCAGCGCACAGTGCACACATCACAATGTGCTACTGAATTGACTGCTCACGTGACAGTTGGAAAAGGGTCATTAGGGAAAGAACCCAAATCAACACATGGGGGCCCAGCCTTTGCTACTTTTACTCATGATCCTCCTGGGCTCCTGACCAGTTTCTATTCACCTGCATTACTTCCAGAATGAAGCCAAGCCGTGGTATTTTCAATCACCTACTATGCACGTGAAAGGTGGACAATGGATAAGGAAGCATGCAGAAGAATGGGTGCATTTGAATGATGGGGTTGGTGAAGAATATTCCTCTAGCTCTTTAATGCTTCCTCTCCCCACTATCGTGACCTCAATTCTACCTTGCAAATCCGATTAGACCAGAGCATGTACACGGGTACAGATAAGCACTCACAACACAGGGAATCCAGGACAAATAAACCCCTCAGGACCAATAATGAGAATAGGGATCCCAGGAGGGTGGAGGGAAGGTGGAGGAAGAAAGGGGGAACTGATCACAATGATCCACATATAACCCCTTCCCAGGGGGACGGACAACAGAAAAGTGGGTGAAGGGAGACAGTGGTCAGTGTAAGATATGGGGGGAGGATTATAAATTTATAAATTATCAAGGGTTCATGAAGGAAGAAGGGTGGGGAAGGTGGAACATGAGGAGCTGATATCAAGGGCTCAAGTAGAAAGAAAATGCTTTGGAAATGATCATGGCAACATATGTACAATGTGCCTCACACAATGGATGGATGGATGGTTGGATGGGTGGATGGGTGGATGGATGATGAGAAGAGCTGTGAGAGCCCCCAATAAAATGATTTAAAAAAACAAAGTACCAGGGACTGCCAGAAGAACAAATCGATCCGACTTAGAAGAAGTAAATCCAGAATGTTCCTTAGAAGCAAGGATGTTAAGGCTTTGTCTCACATACATTGGGCATTTTATCAGGATTGGCGGGTCCCTGGAAAAGTCCGTGAAGCTTGGTAGAAAGTGAAGAAGGGGAAGATTCCTGATGAGACGGACGGACACAGTGGCTGCAACAATGGGCTCAAACATAACAACCCAGGTGAGAGTGATACCGGACTGGGCGGTACTTCGTTCTGTTGTCCACGGTTGCGATGAGTAAGAGCAGACTCAAGGGCAACTAACAACAACAACGTTTCCAGAATAACCTTGTACTTAATTGTGGCTGTCCCTTGGCCATGGGCAAGGTTCACAGCTTGAAACTACGCTTCAAAAGAAAAGACTTTCTACTCCTGGAAAGAGCTGCACTCTCTGAGATTCACAGGGGCAGTCCTACCTTATCCTATAGGACTGCTGTCAGTGGGCATCTACTCAAGGGGAGTGCGTTTGCTTTGGCCCCTTGGCCATGGCATCTCTCATGACTCAGATGCACACTGCAGCTGATGGAAAGGCCTGGCTAGTCATCCGCAGGCACCTGATTCAAGAAAAAACAACCATTTGGCGATTCACTTCCCTAAACTCAGCCCATGTAAACCCTATGGAGCATAGTTCTATTCTGACCCACACGAACTTAGCATGAGTCAGAATCAACTCGATGACAACTGCTCAGGCAAGTCCCCGGTCCCCACCGAGGACCCCTCGAGAGCAGGGTGATATCTTATTTTTGATATAGCTTGAATACTTGACAATAAAACTGCTCAAGAGTTGCTGGTTGATTGTTTGATTGACATCCAATTGACCACCTCTCTCCTTCCCAATAAGACAGTGTAGAGGAGCCATAGGCAATGTTCTGACTACAAACCATGGAATGTAGTCTCTGTGGGCACATCAGCTTTTTAACTTAGGTCTTCAGCTCAAACTGCCCCTGCTGACTGCAAGTGTTTGTGTGCCTTCCTCCAGATTTTGAGAATCAAGAGCCACCTTATTTAGGAAACCCTCACTGTGCCCGAAGGACAGTATCAAGAGGTTTTGATGGGGGTTTGGCAGCTGTAGGGGGGGCCTTGGAAGGAGGAGGCCCTACTTTTATCTTGGTTACTGAGGGAAGGCCGGGAGACAGCACTGTTGATGGTGGAGGGGATGACAGGGAACTGGAGCAACTTGGGGCTGGGGCTGGGGCTGGGGCTGAGGGAGGGAAAGGGGCGTTCCTCTGGAAAGACAGGTGCTGTGCTCAAGGGTGAGGTGCGGTCAAGGGAAGGGCAATCGCAGAGAAAACCTATTTGATTACTGAATTCCAGGATTATAGCCCCAGCTGGCCAGGACGGGGCACCATAGGCTGTGGACTTACAGACATCCGCCAATTAAACTGGGAGCGATGCTTCAAAGGAAAGCCATTCCAGCCAACATGGAACAAGCTCCGGGCAGACGTGGAGGAGCTTAGTTCTCCTCTGTGGAATTGCAGCAAAGCAGGTTTTGGTTGGCTGGCTGGTTGGCTGGTTGGCTGGCTGGTTTCTCTTTAATGTTTCCGGGCTGAGGGATTTGGCTGATTGCTACACAAGGGTTCGGAGGAGGAAAGTCTGGTCCTAAAGCTAGAGCCTGGACCCTGGGGTGTCTCTTAGAGAGAGAGACTCTCACAGGAACCCTGATGGACGGGGCAGGGTCAGTGAGAGCTTGGATGGAATGCTGTCCCGGGTTAGGGTGTATATACAAGCTGCCCGATGGCTCCTTGTCCCTGGTGTGCCCCTCAGGTCCCTTCTTTATGAGAGGTGCTGAGCTCATGGATGCTAATTTAGGATAGCTGCAAGGAGAGCCCTGCACCCCAGGAAGAGTCTGGACCCTCAGTTTATCAGTAGGAGCATCCACTTATCAACCACGTGCAGGCTCACTCACCTGAGCTGGGTTGGGGTTGCAGAACCAAGTCGTCAAAGCAAAAATGACAAATAATAATAGTAGGGACCGAGAAGAGTGCTCACGCCAACTGGATTCCCAGAGAACAACGTTGGCCGAGGCACCAACATTTCAATCTTTCACTCTGTTCCAGAGACAGATGAAACAGGAAAGCAATCACTCTCTCTCTCTCTCCGGATCACACGACTATATAAATAAACATTGGCGGCTGCATGCCGCAGTCATCTGCAACAGCCGAGCAACCCCCCCCTCTGAACTCTTCTTCCTCCTCAATCAAGCGCATGTCCCTTTGAGCCTGAGCCAAGACCCTGCGCATGCAGTTCTTGGGGGCTTGGGGTACAGGCAATGCTAATTAAGTGGTGTTCCCCGGGGACTTGGAAAGGAAGAACCTTCTCGTGTGAAGGTAATTATATCTTCATTGACCCTCCGAGGTGCTCCCTTCCCCAGCGTTGTCGTGGGGTTCTCCCACTCAAGGTGTGACATCTCCTTTCAGGCTGAGCTGCCCGTCACCTGGTGAGGGCTCCTCTCCACGGATGCGTTTTCTAATCAGTTCACATGATTGAGCTTCCGCCAAGTGATGCTTTACTTAATTCCTTTCCGCCTGTAGGGTGTGAGGCTTGGAGGGCCGCTCGTCAAAACTTTGGAGGGCGCTGTCAGTTTGAAAAGAACATGACCTTTAAATTGTATCAGTCTGTTTGCTGGTGCATAAGGGAAAGGGAAAGGTTCGTCCTGATGGAAAACCACTCAGAAACCAAGGAGGAACTCAGAGGGAACCAGCCCAGGAAGTTAATTTGTTTATACGTAATTTGCTAAGTGGGACGAGAAGCGAGAGAGGGCTGAGGGTTTGGGTCTGGGGACACTTGGCCTATCTTCAGTATTTTTCTTTTTCATTGCTTTCGTCTGTTCTGAGCACAGCTGTTACTGCACTGTTATTAGAACAGGTAAAACAATCCACTCCTGTTACTGCAATAGAGGGAATGATTTTAAGAACAATCCACTTCTCTAGCTCTGTCAGCTTTAGAGGTGAATTATTAACTCTTCCAGGGGGTGCATGAGGGCCATGCTGATCCTTTGTGGCCCGTGTGGGAAGGGAAGAATTGGTTTTGAAAAACAGAAGTTTCCGGGGCTGGGGGGTGGGCAGAGAAAAAGGGAAACTGCTTTTTATAGATCAAGGCTTAGATTCTGAGTTTATTTTGAAAGCTTTATTAGAACAGAAAGGATTCAGGAAGTCCATCTGTTTTTCGCTCTGTGTATCACATTCACATTCATGCACACACACATGTGCATCCTTTTTATACTTATTTGTGCCATTTTAAAAAGCGGTATGGTTTTGCATCGATAAAACCTTTGATTATGGCTCTTGGAGTCAAGTGCGGTAGGTTCCCCTCTCATTGCCATCGAGTCCGTTCTGACTCACAGGGACCCTGTAGGACAGGGTAGAACTGCCCGTTTGGATTTCCCAGGCTGTAACCCTGTACTGGAGCAGGAAGCCTGCAGAGCGGCTGCTGAGACGGAACTGCTGACCTTGTGATCAGCAGACCCACTTGCAACACTACACCAGGGCTTCCTGGTCTGTTACTGCTCCACCCTTTGTTCTAGTGACAATATTTTGATTTACAATGCAGAAAAAGTAGAGGGTAAGATAACGCGACATTTCCTCGTGGAAGGAGGTGGCCAAAAAGAACCACCTGAGGCTGGAATAGCGTGGATTTATATGATGGTTATTTTGGTAGCAGGTTTCTCTTTCCTCTCCGTTGCTGTGGATGTGGGAAACCACTCAGTGCGTACTGTTGTGTTGGCCTAAGCTTGGGGTGTCATTTGCTTGCTGACACTGCTAGGCTAGAACCCTTAGTTCTCCAGGGGAGGCATATTGCTCTTTCTGGAAATTGATAACTTTGGAGAGAAAAATAAGGTAGCTCCCCCCAAAGGACTCTTGGCGACCCATAGGACATGGTAGAACAGTCCCCATGAGTTTCTGGGGTTGAGACTCCTCCTGGGAGTTGAAAGCCCTGACCTTCTCCCAAGGAGGGGCTGGGGGATTGGGGCTGCTGAGTTTGCAGGTATCAGACCAACGTGTGACCATTATGCCACCAGGTTGCTATGGGGTGGCTTCCACTTGATGGCAATGAGCCTGGCTTTGGTTTGGTTTTCCTCTCAGGGAAGGAGCAGCAGAGCCGGTGGTCTCTCTCTGTGAACATGGTGTTCCTAGACACGACAGTGGCTGGTTTGCAGCAAGGAGCATGGCCCTGACTCCAAGTCCTGTGTATCCTCTTGCTGTGAAGCGCCATCATTTGTCAGTTTCGTTGAAGCCCCTGCGCCAGCCCGGGCCACGGTGCCGGGAAGTATTGACTGAGTCTGGGTGCCTAATGCAAAATGGGAATTGGAATGTACAGGCTTGATGGAATTAAAACATCTGCATTGGCTTCCAGCTCTTGGCTCTCTTGCTCTGGTAATAAATGCAGGGCATCTTTACAAATCAAAAGCAGCAAACCGTCAGCTAACAGCCAGGTGCCTTTGCAAGGCAGCCCGGGCACACCAGCTCGCTGTGAGATTTGTCAATTGATTTTCTCCTGTGTGGACTGTAGCAACTGCTTCATCTCTAACCGCGACGTATACTTTTCATTTGTTTTACATGGGAGGCTTTTATTTGTCCTATGGAGCTATGAAGACACCACCACTCGTTGGATAGATGGAGCAATCCAGATGTCCACAGGTTGTGGCTTGAACACCACCCCCCACCCCCCAAATATGTGTGGCAACGCCTGTTCTCTCTGCCTGTGGGCACGTGGGGGTGGGTTGGCTTTGCCTTGTTCCTGAGGCAGGATTCAAGAGAGCCAGGGAGAGACGCAGCTCTGAGGGGGAGAGAGGTGCCAACTCAGGAGAAGATCTCCCAGGAGATAAAGGTCAGGCGAGACAAGGGCCTTTCCCCAGAGTCAGCACGAAGGGAAAGCCGTTGCCTGACACCGGCACCCTTGACTCTGACTTCTGGCCTCCTGAACTGTGAGAAAATAAATGTCTGGTTTTTGCAGCCATCCACTGGAGGTGTTTCTGTTACAGCAGCAGGGAACTGCCACGCCACAGAAAACCATAGAGCTGCATCATCCAGGGCATCGCCCAAGGAAAGCGCCGTGGCAGTCTGGCACATACTACATGTACCATCATGCCAGGGTTTACAAGCAGGCCCCTTCACTGGGCCTCCTCCACAGGGAAACCCGCCATCGCAAGATGAACTTTGATGTCTGTCCTCTTCACACACAGTCCTTAGGCCACTGGTGGTAGGAAAGCCCCCTGGGGATCCTGGATCCTGGTGCCCTTGGAAATTCTGTCCTTCCTCTCAGAACAACCAAACTCACTGCCAACGAAGAGCTACCCACTGACTCGGCTTCCTATTACTGTGGCAGGAACCAAGAAAGGGGGTTTGTGGTCATTTCTGCCCCTGGAGGGTGCGTTAGTTCCATACCTTGTCCCATGTTTGGGGACTGAGTAAATTGTGATGGCCGGGCCCAAGGGAATCTGGCCACAGACCTTTATGGCTCTCTGTCACTTTGTCATCCTGTGGTGTTTGGTTTGTTGCTGTGATGCTGGAAGTAATGTCAATAGTACTTCAAATATCAGATGGGTCACCTGGGGTGGTCAGATGTCAGTGAAGCTTCTAGATTAAGATAGGCTAGGAATAAAGTCCTGGTCATATGCTTCCGACAGCTCTTTTCTGATATAGAACTAAGCAGCATTTGATTCCGTTGCCCCTGGGATCATAGTGAGTCGGAGGTAACTTGTCACCCACCAACATCAGCACAGTGCTTTACTTCTCTCTACTTTCTCCTGGGCTTGAGTAACTTCGTGTCGGTGTTCCCACACAGATCATCACCCACAGGCCACCTGCTTGGGTCAGGGAGAAAAAGGTACTAAGGTACAGGTTCTAAGCATATCCATTTACTCATGTGTGTCACATTTCCAGCATTTGAAATTAGTTAGAAACAAAGGGCTCCTTGGCCTGGTCATACACTGTGATGTTTCCTTCTGTCTAAAAACTTTTAGAATCCAGCCACTGTTCTTTGTTCCAATATCTATTCCTCAGACCTGGCAGATCCTCAGCCCGGAGAAGAGAAGAAGTTAAATGGTAGCAGTGACAGGAGTGGAATCCTTTGGGCCAAATCATCCACTCAGCCAGTAGTCGTTGATGAAAAGTCTTAAGGGGCACCCACCGTTCACAGGTCACCCCTCCCTGGGGCTCTCAGCCGGCCCATAGGAGGCCACACTGGACCCAAGACTGGCGTAGCCTGATGTGTCTCGAAGGTTTGGGGCTCCTCTTCATGTTGCAAGTCCGTGTTGCTGCAGGAGGCTTTCTCTCTGGGGAGCCCGACGAGGGGCCAGGATTGTAATGCTAGACTTGCCCTTTTGCAACAAGATTTGCTGGGCCTCAACGCCCCATTCAATCTACCCTTGAGGCCCCAGGCACATAGGCTTGCATCTCGGCATCCAGCCATCTCTCCCCGGAGTTTATCTCAAGTGTCGTTGCGGCATGAATGCCATGATGTCGTTTGACCTCAGCCTGCAGAGGGCTCCAGCTCTGGCAGTCTGAAGAACTCAGTTTGGTTTCAGGGGAGAGTGGTGTGGGCTCCTGGGGTCCGGCACCTTGCAGATCTGCTTTATGGTGCAGAGTGAGCCGTGTGGCCTTCGGAGCCAGCGTCTGAAACGTTCCTAAGACTTGGGCCCTCCCAGGCAAGGTGAATCTGTGACTCTTCAGACACACTTTGAGTGACTTGGTTTCAGCTTTCAGGAAATGCTAATGTTGCTATTGCTTACGTCTCGCCGCATTGAGGTTTTTGTTTTCTTTTTAACTTTAAAATTACAGCCTTAGTATATTAAGCTAATTTCATAATACGGTACTAGCTTAATATTCCATAAATCACATGTGCCAGATGGCATTGTCACAGATGCCAGGACCCAAATCTACTACCCGGGCTTTCCAAACACATGTATTTATAATTTGCTCTGGCCAGCCCTGGGCCGCCATATAGGGTTAAGGAATTACACATTCCAAAGCCAGGCACAGATCATGCAGAGCGCGCTCT